TTCGACTCATTAGCAATAAGTGCTGGTTTTAAGTGCATAATGTCATTGTGACCATCCCTACAAAATTACTCTGGTTCACACCCTCAAAATGTTTCCAAGGCTCCCCTTCAACTGTCCTGTGGCAACCAGTAATACATGGTGAAAAGAGGACAAAGGGAAGCAGTACTGTGTTTTAGAGGGGGAAACAGGACTGGGGAATTGAACAAAGTATTCCTATATCCAGTCTTTATCCTTAAATGTTCCTACTATATGCAGTAGGAACATTTAAGGATAAAGACTCGTATGAATGTATTTTCTTTAGAGTTAATTTAATACCAGTATTATATAAGTCCCAGTTTAACATGAGTTATATATTTAATCACAGGTACACTTATAATGTGCTTAACTTTATATGTGTCAATAGCCCTGTTGACTTCAATGGGACTATTCAGGTGTTGCAAAATTAAGCAAATGCCGAAAGTTTGCAAGGTTGAGCCCTAAGTGTGGTTGCATTAAGGACACCTAACTATATTTAACAGTTCCTAAATTACATGATTAACTAGACAAACTGCCAGAAAGTCCCCTTAGGATGTAGTAAAGTAAATTTTCAAAAGCAAGCATTAGTAAAGAGGAAAAATCAAATTTCACACTGAATATTTTTTACTGCTTATCATACAGAATTATTATTATTTCTCTGCGTAGTTACTTATATTTTTCAGGACAATGTATTCACTTTGGGGGAAACACTACACACACACACACACACTTCAAAAACTGATGAGTAAGGAAAAACAGTGCTGCTGTTTAAGCCCTTCACAGTTTATAGCCACATTTACATAACATTAAATAAGTCAACAAAGGCATCATTAGCTCCCATTAAAATATGAGAGAAGACATTTAAATGAACAAGACAAGCTAATTGGTAAGTAATGTTGTGTATCAAAAATTATGACTATAAGATTCCACAGTTAATGAGAAGCACTACAATTGTGTTTGTTACACATTTAAAAAATAAATTAAAGATGAATATAGATAGCTTGAAAAGTTTTCCAGCTGTCATTTGGGCAGGCCAAAAACTATGGAGGTTACATCTGCTGTTTAATAAAGTTTGAATTTTTCCATAATTGCCATCATATCAATGGATAGCAATCTATGGACCAGATCCTGATCTCAGGCTATGTGCCAGATCTTTAATCATACTGATGTTGAATAGCACCAGTCTCCAAGAGCATCCCATTGAATTCAGTGGGACTGCTCATGAAGTTAAGAGTTCAGAATTGGGCCCCTTTGTACATAAAGGCATAGGAATTGTAAGACTAGAGGAGACTTCAGGTATATCTAGTCCAGTACCTTGTCTGGGAAAGTAGCCAGTGCCAGATACTTCAGAAGGAGGTTCAAGAAACCCCATTACAGTAGGGCACATGTGGGGTCATCTGTACTTTATGAAAGTCTCATCTTAAGACCCAATGTGATTACCTTGTTTTAGAGAAACAAGAAGAATGAGATGCCAGTGTCTTGCCAGGTATAAAAATGATCAACTTCTTATTAAGAGGGCTACATTTATTCTACAAATACAGAAATATAACAAATCACCCAGTGGCTCCTTTTGGTCTATTTTAACCATCATCTGCCTATAAATGCTCATGTTTTTTTTAAATGGGATGCCATGGAATCATTTTGCCAGCTCCCTAAGGGCTGGATCTATGCACTAGATTTCCTTTACATCGGTTACTTAGGGTTGGATCCAATGCCCAGTAGGAATCTTCTCGTTGACCCAAAGTGTGACCGTGCTATTCTCAGCTTACAAACACTTTTACCACAGATGGCGCGCCGTTAGAGAACTGCTGGGTCTAGAACCTGCTCAGGGTGTTTGTGTCAAATTGGATGGAGAAAAAGGCTGGATAACTCCAGCTGTTGTAAAGAAAAAGAATGAATCGCCCGGGTCATTGAGATCGACAGTGTAGAGTTCAACAGAAACCATCGACGTCTACCGTTTGCTCCTCAGAAAGAACAAACAACAGAGCAAACTCTACAGATGGTGGATGCCAGAATAAGGGACTCAAAGATTCCAAACCAACCACAGCCAGTTGTCGCACCTAATGGACAGCCAGATGACCAAGTTTGGGTCATGTGATTAGAAAACCATGCGTTTGGGTCATGTGATTAGAAAACCAGCACGATTCAGAGACACTTAACAGGCTGATCCATACTGAGCTTCAAAGGTAGCGTGATCATGTACATTTTGTAAATGGCAGGAATGTAGAACTTAAAGGGGGAGATGTAATGGAATGCTAAACTGTATTGTCCTGTACAGTCACTAGGAGGCGCTGTGTGTAACATACCTTATTTTGAAAAAAATAAGAGAAAAAATAAGGAGAGGAAAAAAAAACCTTTTGTAGTGATAATCAAGGTGGGCCATTTTCAGCAGTTGACAAGAATGTGTGAGGAACAATGGGGGGTAGGAATAAACATGGGGAAATAGTTTTACTTTGTGTAATGACACATCCACTCCCAGTCTTTATTCAAGCCTAAGTTAATTGTGTCCAGTTTTCAAATTAACTCCAATTCAGCAGTCTCTTGTTGAAGTCTGTTTTTGAAGTTTTTTTGTTGAAGAATTTGCTAGGTCTGTAATCAAGTGACCAGAGAGATTGAAGTGTTCTCTGACTGGTTTTTGAATGTTTTGTGATTTGTTTCCATTTATTCTTTTACGTAGACACTGTCCAGTTTGGCCAAAGTACATGGCAGAGGGGCATTGCTGGCACTTGATGGCATATATCACACTGGTAGGTTATCACTACAAAATGTGTTTTTTTCTGTCTTGCTGGTAATAGCTCACCTTACCTGATCGCTCTCTTTACAGTGTGTATGGTCACACCCATTGTTGCATGTTCTCTATGTATATAAAATCTCTCCACTATATTTTCTACTGCATGCATCCGATGAAGTGAGCTGTAGCTCACGAAAGCTCATGCTCAGATAAATTGGTTAGTCTCTAAGGTGCCACAAGTACTCCTGTTCTTTATACCTTCTTTAAGCTAACCTCAGCCACACCTGGCAGAACTTTGACGGATCTTATGGTGAGCACATCTAGTGTGTATCTCACTAAGGAGGAAACTCCTTGCCCAGGCCATATCTGATACAGAAGCTTGACCTGCTAGTAGTAGCTCTGTAACCTACCCTGTATAAGACATGCATATAGCCAGGGGATACATATCTCTCTGCACCCCAACACTAGCGGTGTACGTTCTGCTGCAGTCTGCTCTCCTCCAAGGAATAGAAGCCATTGAGTGGAAATGTAATGCTGCAACATGCATTAGCAAACTTGGTCAGCATGCCATGGAGAGCTGCCTCTCTTGCTAATTGCATTTTCACCTGGCCATGCCCATGAATGCACACACGCACTGTTGCCACAGACAGGGAACCAGGGGGTACTTAGCTGAACATGCCACCTACCTGCTTTTCCCTTCCATTTGTGTTTCCCAGCTCCATTTTATGATTAGTACATGTTTAGAGGAGTGCATAGGGCTCTGTATTTTTATCTCATATGCCTCGGATGTGAAATTGTAATGTGATTTGGTAACATCACACAATTAGATCAGTGTCCTCACCTTTACAGACATGTAAAACTGGTACAAATGTACCCATTTATCTACTCCTAATTGATAGTGACGGAGACACTAGAAATATAATCTACTTTATTTGTATTCATTTTTTGTATCGCTCTTTAAGTATATGTGCTCAGAGATGAGTTGTGGTAGCTGTGTCGGTCTCAGGATATTGGAGAGAGAAGAGGGGTGAGGAAATATCGTTCATTGGACCAACTTCTGCTGGTGAGAGAGACACGCTTTCAAGCTTCCACAGAGCTTTTCTTCAGGTCCTGAAGAAGAGCTCTGTGTAAGTTCAAAAGCTTGTCTCTTTCCCCAACAGAAGCAGGCCCAATGAACGATATTTCCTCACCCCTCTTCTGTCTCAGAGATGAGTGCATTTCTGACAGGAGAATCTGCTCTTATCAAAATGCAATTGTTCTACCATCCTTCAGCATAATATTGTGAGATCTAAAAGCACAAAGCTAAATTTCACTAGGTTTAGTTGGCACCTAGATAGTGTTCCAGACTTGCACTGACCAAAAGTATCTGTGAACATTTGATCAAGCGAAGTCCATGAATTCACGCCAACACTGAATTTTCGTTCACTGAAGGCAAAAGTCTGGTATATATTTGTGGTAGGTTTACACCGACAATGTTGTCTGGCCCGTCTTGAAATCTCTTCTCATTTTTCCTGCTCCTGTTTATACAAGTGTCAGTTATCCAGTCAGGAAGCAGAGAGAATAACTGTTGCCTCAGGTGAGCAATCATGTACCACAAATAATGAATAGCCACAGATTTGGGCAAGGCTGTGTTTATTCACAAATAGTTCACAACCAATATTTTATTGCGACACAGGAGAGCACTTAAACATCTGATTAACACTAAGCATATGCTTAAGTCCCTTTGACTTCAGAAGGGCTTAAGCACATGCTTAAAAGCGAGCACTTTAAGTGTTTTCCTGAGTAGCGAGGATTTCCTGAAATGGGGCTTCTGTCCTGAAATAGCCCTACAATGAGAGCTTGAACAAACAGATTTGTAAATCTCATCGTCTAGTCCAGATAATTTGCCCACAGTAAAAGGGTGAAGTTCATCTAATTTTTCACCATGAGTGAGTCACCCAGCTCTGCTACAAAATCTGACCCTTCATGTGATCAACAAAACACTTTCCCTATTAAGCCCTATTTTGATCCATTCAGCACTATTCTGAGTTGAATCACCACCCAACTGATTGCAGGAACGCATGCAAAGGAGTAAAATGATAAATACATTAAAACATAAATAAATACAGCTTTGTTTGGATGAGAATTGGATATGGGGGCTGAATAACAAAGTAAGGGAAAGTAACTTTTACATTGCCCAGCTGTACTTAGAATAATATACAGAAACTCTGTGAATCATTTCATGGTTTATTAAATGAAATTTTGTTTGCAACTGGTGAGTTAGGAAAATAAACGTCCATGTTTGTTTTCATTTTACGTTTCCTTGGTTTGTCCAGATCTTCACAGCCTTGTGCGCCAGCATTGTCCTCAGGGGCTCATTAAAAAGCCCAGTGTTTGCTACTCTGATTATCCGGGGAATTCAGCAACAGATTGCCATTAACCCCATGAGGCTGAGAGGTGGAAATTCTTGATGCATTCCCCATTGCTGGCAATAGGATCTGTCACAGCCTTTGGTACCAAAGGGTTAATTTTATCTCTCCTATTGCTGCTGTCAGACCTCCAATAAAACAGTATGTGACCACGATGGGAGACTGACCACTTAATACAGCAGTACCTGCCAAAATTGGCTTAAGACTGTTAGAGATCAAGGGGCAGAAAAATACTGCTTTTTCTAAAGTACACTGTATTACCACTGTTTACTTACAATTCTCTCTTGGAAGGAATGCTGATTCTTAGTAAAATGGTCTCGTTTCCTATATGCTCAGTTCCATAAGAGAAAGCAAGTTGTCTCTAGTATCTTGTGTGTACTAAACCTTCTCTGAGGATAATGAAGTTATAAACTGCCGCAGATGGAAGTTCCAACCCGACAAGCGCTGATTTTTCACCTTGAGATGTATTGTTGCTTTATTACCGGAGTGATTCATACGACCTAAGAAAAAAAATGGTTTGGAATACTCTGAAGCAGTAAGAAATTGTCTTTCAATGAGTCACAACATGGAGAGCCCAGGAAAACAGAGTCCCAGATACCTTCGGATACAATTTTGCAGTGTAACTCAGGATGTCCAGTGTGTGTTATACATCCCCCTACTCTGTGCCTGGCTCACAGGGGACTGAGTCTTCTGTGCGATGGACTTGACCTATTAGCTCAAGCTGTAGTAGCTCGTACTCTTAGTTCCAGAGATTCAAGGTTCTACCCTTAGAAATGGCCAAGATGACGGCTGTTACAATAGCATTGGCATACCAAAGAAGCAGCATGTAAGCTTGCATGTGATATTATTATCTGATATAAGATTATCCCCACCAGCTGAATTCACAGTTAACTTGATGGTCAATGGAGAGCTTCCCCTAAGGTAACATGGCCCTTTAGGAACATGAATTATTCCCACTTTGCTGACAGACATCTCCCTCTGCTGAAGCCATGGGCCAAGTTCAGTGCACTCTAGCAGCTCCATTGAATACAGCACCCTGGAAGGCAGTCCGATTGCACGGGCTATAGGAAGCACCATCTTGACCACCCAGTTCATGCTGAAGACACATGGGAAGTGAAGATCTGCAGTAGTGATGCTGGCTTCTATGCTGTTTGCCTCTTTGATAGCATTCAAAACATTAGAACTCACTAATGCATATGATTTTGTAGTGAAACAAAGATCTGGGATTAGGACTTTACATGACAAAAAGCTGAAGAGCAGAATTAGGCCCTGTGGCTCGGGTTTGGGCTCCTGACTCCCTAACCCCTAACTCTCCTTCACACAATGCACAGTCAACCTGTGGAACTCTTTGCCAGAGGATGTTGTGAAGGCCAAGACCACAACAGGGTTCAAAAAAGAACTAGAAAATTCATGGAGGATAGGTCCATCAACGGTTGTTAGCCAGGATGGGCAGGGATGGTATCCCTAGCTCTGTTTGCCAGAAGCTGGGAATGGGTGACAGAGTCTGGATCACTTGATGATTCCCTGTTCTGTTCATTCCCTCTGGGGCACCTGGCACTGGCCACTGTCGGAAGACAGGATACTGGGCTAGATGGACCCTTGGTCTGCCCCAGTAGGGCCATTCTTATGGTCTTATGTTAAGACTCCTTTGAGAATCCCAGCCTGCGTGTCCTATATTGGGATAGTGGCATTTCCATCAATTTCCCAATATGCTCAGCTCCAGAGACCAGTCAGACAACGTCTAGCTAAACAAATACACTGTTAACGTAGGTTTAAGAGCAGTCCTTGAGACTTACCTGCCTAAATACCTGAGGTAAAAAACGGGAGCATTTTAATGTAGTAAGCAGCAGCATATGTACTAGACGATGCCTAAGGGGAAATCCTCAGATGCAGAGCAGACCGAGCACTTAGAAGCTGTATACAGAATGAGCCATCACCTCCGAGCTAGGGATGGGGCCATTAATGGAGGAAGAGAGAGAGCTTTGCCTAAGGGTGTAAGCACAATACCAGGAGTCAGAAACTCTGGGTTGCATTCTGGCTTAGTGTCATCTCAGGCAGGCCAGTTCTCTGTTCTTTCCTGTCCCCACCCCCACCGCCATCTTATAAAGGAGATACTCATACTTACTTACAGCCAGAGGCAGATTAAGGTTTCCTGGGGCCCTGGGCCAGAGCAAGTGGGGGGCCCCCTCCCCACCTCTTCCACTTGCGGTCCCGCCCCCAACCTCCCCACCTGTGCCCCACTAACAGCCACATCCCTTTCTGCTCCTTCCCTGGGGTCCCGCCCCTGTTCCACCCAGGGTCCCCCACATCCCACCCCCTACCACTGTGGCCCCACAACCTGTTTGCTACTTTCTGTCCCTCCCCACAACTGCAGCCCCAAGACTGGAGAAACCCTGTCCCCTTGCTGCAGCCTGGGGCAGGTAGTGAGCACTCCTCCAGTCCTGGGGCTGCAGCGGAGGTCCTAGAGCTGGGGCTTCCCCCATTCCCCCGCCATGCTGGTCAGGGTGCTGGGAGCTTCCCCTGCCACCCCCCAGCTTCTACCAGGGACACAGTCGGGGGGGGGTCACTGGGGGCTGCTTTTGCCAGGGACAGAGGGCACTGGGGGCTTCCCCTGCCCCCAGCTTCTGCCAGGGAGCAGGGTTGGGGGATACGGGGGCTTCCCCCGCCATGCCTGCCCAGGACTGCAGGGCCCCCCAGTTGGCTGGGGCCCCATAGGCCCAGTGGCTAATTGGCCACTGCTTACAGCACAGCAGATCTTCAGCTTTGAGATCCTTGCATGGTATGTGCTGGAGGAACCCAAAATATGACTACGACTGACCTTCTAACAGAGGAAAGCAATCTTAAATCCAAACCATTTGTGCGACTCACAGAGAGCTACTGTTGCATTATTCATGACACAGTTGCCTCTTCTTCAGTGGGCTAATATTTCTCCCCCATACAGCATTCATAACATGAATTCTCTCTTTCTAAACTAAACTCCACACTTCTTTGTAGTGGTCTGTAATAGGATTCCTACCCGTACTTAGCAGAGTCCACATCAGAGGCAGCACAATCAGCCATCCCATGAAAAGAGTTCCCAAGAGCTCCTCTTACAGAGGATTGTAAAATGTATAAATAGATAACTCTCTCTCCCTTTGTACCTTCTGGCCCTATCCTATGCTAGAGTAACATATTTGTCATTAGGACACACAATATGCACTTAGATGTTTGATATGCCGGTCCAGATCATATGGAGCAGACAGAATTTTTGAAATAGATGGAAACTCGGAAATGTTTTGAAAGTGGTTACAAGTTTTGAAAGTGGTTAGAAAGAGCGTTAAGAAGAATTAGCCATGGCAGCTTACTTGGTAGTTTGTTATAGCTCCCATTTTCTAATGCATCATATTCTTTTATTCCCCTAATTACTTTCTTTGTGTGAAAGACAATTCCCAAGGAAAGCACACTTCACTGCTTTGAACCATTGCCAGCAATATGCACCACAACTGCTGAAAGCAAGAGAGAAGGTCTGGCATATCTATTAGAGCTTTGCAAAGGTGCCTATTTCCCCCCTTCTTTTTAACCTTGGTTTTCCCTTAATACCATTCCTGATTAGATTAATTTCATTTTTCTTTTTTTTCCCCCTCCTCTCCTTTATTGCAACTTCTATTTCTGTTTTGCGGTTGTTGTTTTTCTTTTTGTGAACTGAGGTTTGGTTGGTAATTACACCTCATGAGTTTTCAGTCTCCCTCTTATTAAAAGAGCATAAAATCTATTAAATGATTTTAAAAAAAGTGTAACTGCAGGATTCCTTACACCTGATGCTCCATCTGTAGCTTCCACTACAGATCCATCTTGCAGCCAAAACTATGCTAGTTCATCCCATAGCCACCAGACAGGAACCCCTCATTGAGGGAGAATTTACACCCAAATCTTCATCAGCATCAAGCCTTCACAACTCCTCTGACATAGCTCCAAACCAGCACATCACATCAGAATTTCCTCAAACACTGGTAAAGTCTGGATACAGCTTTGACCTTCACCTCTGGCTCTTATGGCATGTCTGTAGTGGGAAGATAGATCCATCTCTACTCACCAGAACAAGAATGCTAAATAGTTAATACTTTTTTAAAGTTTTGGAAGGGATATTAAACCGCAGGCTTCAGGGGTTTAAGCCCATCTCTAGTGACAAGGGAGTAGGATGAGAGGGTGTGGGTGGGGAAGGCTAACCCATGTCTTCCCAGTGGAGTTTTTTGTGTACCTTCTGTAGCAAAGCGAGACTCACCGATGTGGCCCCTCCTGCTTGTCATCTCGGGAATTAGCTCTCCAGCGTATGGAGCACCTCCTCCTGGCCAGTGTCTCTTCTGCTGCTGGCCCCCATGTCTCTCCCAGACCCCAGTGCCCCTTTACCTTGGGGTGCTGTCCACTGGCAGTGCCCCCACACTCTGGGTCTCCCCTACCAGGGGAACCCCCAACCCTCTATCCCCACCTTGCCTCGGTGGTTACTGCCAGTCATCATCTAGCCCCCACTCTCTGGGGCAGACTGCAGTCATAGAATCATAGAATCATAGAATATAAGGGTTGGAAGGGACCCCAGAAGGTCATCTAGTCCAACCCCCTGCTCGAAGCAGGACCAATTCCCAGTTAAATCATCCCAGCCAGGGCTTTGTCAAGCCTGACCTTAAAAACCTCTAAGGAAGGAGATTCTACCACCTCCCTAGGTAACGCATTCCAGTGTTTCACCACCCTCTTAGTGAAAAAGTTTTTCCTAATATCCAATCTAAACCTCCCCCACTGCAGCTTGAGACCATTACTCCTCGTTCTGTCATCTGATACCATTGAGAACAGTCTAGAGCCATCCTCTTTGGAACCCCCTTTCAGGTAGTTGAAAGCAGCTATCAAATCCCCCCTCATTCTTCTCTTCTGCAGGCTAAACAATCCCAGCTCCCTCAGCCTCTCCTCATAACTCATGTGTTCCAGACCCCTAATAATTTTTGTTGCCCTTCGCTGGACTCTCTCCAATTTATCCACATCCTTCTTGAAGTGTGGGGCCCAAAACTGGACACAGTACTCCAGATGAGGCCTCACCAATGTCGAATAGAGGGGGACGATCACGTCCCTCGATCTGCTGGCAATGCCCCTACTTATATACATCCCAAAATGCCATTGGCCTTCTTGGCAACAAGGGCACACTGCTGACTCATATCCAGCTTCTCGTCCACTGTCACCCCTAGGTCCTTTTCCGCAGAACTGCTGCCTAGCCATTCGGTCCCTAGTCTGTAGCTGTGCATTGGGTTCTTCCGTCCTAAGTGCAGGACCCTGCACTTATCCTTATTGAACCTCATCAGATTTCTTTTGGCCCAATCCTCCAATTTGTCTAGGTCCTTCTGTATCCTATCCCTCCCCTCCAGTGTATCTACCACTCCTCCCAGTTTAGTATCATCCGCAAACCACTCATTACTGGCAAGGGAGGTTTGGACCTGCTGTCTTTCCCTTCAGCCCAGTACCTCTCTTTGGGCCCTGAACAAGGCCTGCAGCCTGAGGAGTTGCCAGGCTGGAGCTCCCCAACTCCTCTTGCCTTTCCCCAGCACTTCTCTACGTCTGGTACCCTGCTCCCAGGCAACTAGGTTCTTCTCTCTCCACCACTAGAGAGAAACTGACTTAGCTCCTGGCTCAGAGCCCTTTTATAGGGCCAGCTGTGGCCTGATTGGAGCGTGGCCCCAGCTGTGGCTGATTCTCCAATCAGCCTAGGCTTTTCTCTCAGGAGTGGGGTAACTGCCCGGCTACACCTTCCTCTGAAGTATCTGGTGCAGGCCCCTACTGGAGTCAGCACACTAGACTAGGTGGTCCTTGGGTTTACTCCAGTCTGGCAACTGCTGCCTGTCCAAGAAGCATCCTCTTCACTCACAGAAGCAGAAGTGATGTCCTCTTTTAGTGATGATAGTGGCTGAGAACTGGTGATTGTGATAACATTTCATGGGGAAATATGACTTATCAGTCATTTAGCAAATATTTATTTTTCCAGGAAGAACATAAGATCCATCCTGCAAGCTTTCTGCATGTAGAAATCCCTTGGGGAGAGCTTTCAGGATCAGGTCTATAGGAAGGGAAGCAAGGAATATTCAAATAGGGGAGCCTAAGAGCATAGAATCATGGAATCGTAGGACTGGAATGGGACCTCGAGAGGTCATCTAGTTCAGTCCCCTGCATTCATGGCAGGCCTAAGCATGTTCAGTTAGGAGGAACTGAGCCCAGCAGAAACCTTGGGAATCCAGTGTGGACACTTCCATTGCAATCTCAGACTGACTCTTCATCAGTTGCCAGTGAAAGACGCAAGCTTCCTTGTACCCCGCATAAGGGAGATCTTTACACCTTTCCATGGTCTTGTGCTGCAAAACCTTAGAACATGCTGGTGCGTTTGCTTATTCTGGCTTGACCTATTAGTGGTGAGCTGAGGCCCATAGTTCAGGGATGCTTGGAAACAGAGATTTGGCTCAGGCCCATCCCTATTTCATTTATTAGCATTACAATTCAACAAACAGTAGCTCAGTTAAAAACTGGCAAAGTTAGCAAGGGTTAGTGTGGCTAAGTATTTACTACAAGAAGGGTTCAGTATAACTATATTTCCTTAGCATCTAAATGTGCATACGGGTACATATTTATAGCCTATGTTTTATTATGCTTAGAAAAGTCTCAAGGTTTCTAGATTTCTCTCCCCTCTTCCCGTGCATGGAACTGCCTAGACATATGAAAGCCAGATTTTCGAAGGTTGGCTCTTAATTTGCAATACAAAGTACTTAGAGGTCTAACTACCTGATTTGTGCACACAAATCCTCTTTGCACATGCACATTCTATTGTTTGAGCATGCAAATCACTCTGCACACAGATTCAGGGGTTGGATTGAGGCCTCTTTGAAAATATGGCTCTGAATCTCAACTGTTATTCACACGAACAGAAAAAAACCAAACCTAACGCTTCCTGCCATTCTTGTGAGTCTGAAGTGTTAGAA